GCCAGAGGAGTGGTTTGTCTCCCGAGCCTCCCTCTCCTTCTCTTAGCGCGAGTGAGAGAGCTGACTTCACATGAGGGCTTCCTGTTTCAGACCCTGGGAGTTCTTCTCAGATAATCTGTTATACCTCTTGATCGCTGGGGAAAGGACTGTGGCCCCAGCTCTTGGTCCCAAGCTTAGCATGTGTTTCTCCTCATAGGCACAGGAGGAAGCCCGTCGGAACAGGCTGATGAGAGACATGGCCCAGCTGCGACTTCAGGTGGGCAGTCGGGACCCAGCTGCTCCTGTTCTTGATCTGGTCATTGGCCAGGCTCCAGCGGCAGCCATCCCCTCCAGCCGCTGCCCCCTGCTCTGTTGCACAGCTCCCGTTTGGTTCCGCTGCCTCCCCTACCCCGTTCCACTGTGCCCCCCCCAGCTCTGTTCCGTCTCCCCGCTTCCGTGGTGGCCTTCACTTTAACCGCATCACCTCCCAGAATTCCTTTCCTTGCCCATTTCCTCACTGAGCCTTGATGGCCCCTTTCTGCCTTCTCTGCTGTCTTTCCTTTCTCTTCACCTTCCCTTCTTCCCGCCCCCCTTTCCTCCAAGGCCTTGGTGTAGGGAGCCCCCTGCCCCCTTTGCAGCAGGAGATGCCCCATGAGGGCCCCTTTGGGTTCCATCCTCCCCGCCCAGGCTGCAGGGCCCGCGCAGCCCCACACTCTGCCCTCTGTCCTCAGCTCGAGGTCTCTCAGCTGGAAGGGAGCCTGCAGCAGCCCAAGGCCCAGTCGGCAATGTCTCCCTACCTCGTCCCTGACACCCAGGCCCTCTGCCACCACCTCCCGGTCATCCGCCAGCTGGCCACCAGCGGCCGCTTCATTGTCATCATCCCAAGGACGGGTAGGCATGCTGGGAGGTGGGGCAGGGTGTGGCTAAGAAGAGACTTCGGCTTGCGATGGAGAAGCGCTCATGGGGGCCCAGTTTCCATACCGTGGTCTCGGTCAGGTCCTGCCACCTTTCTAAAGCTTGGTCACTTCATCTGTGGAACGCGCGTGACCGTCCCTGTTAAATTCTGACTCGCGAGATGGTTAGAAATGAGAGGAAAATCTAAGCGAACGCACTTGCTCGAGCGCCGGCTCTGCTGCTCGCAGAAGGCCGTGCTTCGGAAGAGCTCTGGGAGCCGCGTAGGAGCCCCGGGCCCTGCTTCTCCTGCAGCGGGGGGCTGGGGGACCCCCGCGAGCTCAGCCGCTTCCTGCGGAGCCCTGGGCCACAGCAGCGAGAGCTCACCTGTTGCATCCTTCCCCATCCCCACCTTGTCCTCCAGTGATCGATGGCCTGGACTTGCTGAAGAAGGAACACCCAGGGGCCCGGGATGGGATCCGATACTTGGAGGCAGAGTTTAAGAAAGGAAACAGGTGAGTGTGGGCCTGGCTGGGCCTCTCTCGAGCCCCGGGTCAGGCTCCCCGACAAGAGTGTTTGTCCCTGGCTCCCCATGGGTAAGACACACACTTGCAGAGATGTGATTACAGGTCAGGGTCTCAGGTGTGGATGGAGGGTGGTCACGGGGGACACCGACCTGCTGTCTCTTTGCCTCTGGGGCAGACACGAGGTCAGCATCAGCAGGGAGATGGGGGCAGGACCCTCCGTTCCCCCCAGCTCTGGGCTGTGGGCTCCTTGGCAGGAGTTTCTGCTGTTTTAGGGTCGGGCCGTGTGATCAGGGGTACCGGGGTGCCCTCCCCGTTGCAGCTAGCCAGGGACTGGCAGGTGGTGGCGTGTTGGTGCTCAGGCCCACACATGCCCGCCCTCCTGCGCTCCGGGGCTGGGAGAGTAGCGGGCGGCGGGCGCAGTAGAGGGAGAAACTGGCCCTTGCTCCCCGGCTCCCCTGCCGCCTCTGCCCGGCCAGGAAGCCGAACAAAGCCTGCTTGTTTGGACCTTGTCTGCAGAAGCCCTGACTTGAAAAGCATCTGCTGTTTCTCCCTTCTCAGCTCCTCCCCTGGGAGGAACCGAAGGATCGATGTTATCAGGAGGAGGAAAAGCGAGCTGGGCTCAGTGGCCAGGAAGCTCCTTTGAAATGGCTCCCAACAGAGCTGGGATGGGAGAGACTGGGCCTCCTCCCCTGGGCCACAGCGAGGTGCTTTGTGGGAGGCGCTCCGCCTCCTCTGACCGCCCCCCCCCCACCCCGCTGTCTCCCTCGCAGGTATATTCGGTGCCAGAAAGAGGTGGGAAAGAGCTTCGAGCGGCATAAGCTGAAGAGGCAGGATGCAGACGCCTGGTAAAATGCCAGCCCCGTGCTCCTAGAACCTCAGCTAGGCTGTCCGCCTCGCTCCTCTCCGACCTCTCCCCAGGCCAGATGGTCCTGCAGCAGCTAGAGGGACCAGCCTGGTCACGCTCAGCCCGCCAGGGCGTCCTGCGCCTGTCCCCTGTGGGGCGGGAGAAGGGGCTCTAGCCCCGGAGCCCCGGAGCCCCTGTGGCCCTGAGATGCCGGGGCTTGGTGTCCCCGCTCAGTGTCCCTCTGCCCACTCCCTGAGGACACCCTCCAGAACCACTGCCCTGGCCGCCTGGTTTCTCCTGCTCGCTCTCCTGCTGCCCTCCCTGTCCCCAGCTTCCCCTGGGCCCTGGGGATCCTGGCGTCCGGGCTGCGCTCATGCTGGGGCTTGGCCCACCTCCTCTTCCTACCAGGACTCTCTATAAGATCCTGGACAGCTGCAAACAGTTGACTCTGGCCCAGGGGGCAGGTGAGGAGGACCCAAGCGGCATGGTGACCATCGTCACAGGCCTTCCACTGGACAACCCCGGTGCGCTCTCAGGCCCTATGCAGGTAGGTCCATGAGGTGGGGGGATAGGGGTGAATGGGGAAGAGGTGCCAAAGGGACTCTCTTCTCAGAACACTCCACACACTTGCTTTTTTGCTTCCCCCATCCGTTAGGCAGCTCTGCAGGCCGCCGCACACGCCAGTGTGGACATCAAGAATGTTCTGGACTTCTACAAGCAGTGGAAGGAGATTGGTTGAGACGGACCCCCAGGCCCTGCAGTGGGGCTGCATCCAGATCTCTCCTGCCCTCCCTGGCAGCCAGGACCACCACCTGTAGTCACCCCACCACACGCAGACTCACGCACGCACGCAGGAAGGAAGCCCAGCTGCACACAGGCCGCAGGGAGGGCCCGGGAGCCACAGGGAGGGCCCAGAGCCGGCTGGGAGGGCGGGTCCCCCTGTCGCCAAGACGACGTCAGGAAAGTGGGGGAAGTGCTGGGAGCAGGAGAGGCCTGTGGGCCCCCAGCCAGCCCTTCTGCCTCAGCCCCCTGCTGTCACCAGGGGCAGGTGGCAGGCGTGGGCGTCTGCGTTCCATTGGAGTGGTTTGTGGACCTCTGAGGGGAAGGGACAGCAGAAGGGCCCCCCTTCCTCACTCAAGACGCAGGGTGGTTGGCGTCAGGAGTTGGATCCTCTGGTGCCAGGGGAGGAATTGGGTAACACCGGATGTGTGGGTGGTTCTCTGCAGACCCTTCCCCTCCTGGAGGACCCCCCATCCTCCCCTCCCTTTGCACAGGCGGGGGCAGTTCTGGAGCCATGGGGACTCTTCCAGAAGAGGGGCCTGGAGCTGCTGGCACCAAGAGCAGGGCCAGGGCTCGCCCCCTCCTGCTGCTGTGGGAGTCACGCACCCAGCCGCCCCACTTCTGCCCTCGCTCTGCGTCTGCCCAGCTTCCAGGGCACGGAGCAGGCCCCTCTTGACGGCAGGCTGGCCCCGTGGGCCAGCGAGGGTCCCGGGCCCACCAGCCCCACAGTCGTGATCTGTGCAGGGGGCGGAGTGCGATGCCAGGAAGGGGAGGGGGTGCGGCACCAGGCCACCAGCCCCCTGACGGTCTGGGAGAGGCCTGCGTGGAGGTGGGCCGCAGAGAGGAGGGGCCCGTTGAGCTGCCTGGTCGGGGGCCTGCTGTCCTGCTGGGGCTGAGCATGGGGCTCGCTTGCTCGTGGCCGGTGGCGAGGTGAATGTGGGAGCCGAGATCATGAATCGCTCAGGGCAGGCCGTGGGGGAGGCTCCGGCCAGGGACGCCTCGGCCCCTTGCCCTGGGGCTGGCCAGGAGCTCGTGGGAGGGGGCGGCGGGGCTCGGCTCTGCTGCCCCCACCCCAGCGCTAGCCTAGCTTCCCAGGCTGTTCTCAGAGGAAAGCAGGCTTCTTGCCTCCTTCCTCTAAGACAGCACGTCTGGGACGACCTGGGGGCAGTGGGGTCACCCCGACTCCCAGTCCCTGGCAGAGACTGAGACTGAAGCATCACTTAATAAAGATCCCTCGAAGCCCACCCCGTCTCCTGGTGCCGTTCTGTCCAGTTGTACTGGGATGTGGGCGCTTTCTTGCTGAAACGGCGTCTCAGGAAGGTTTCTCCGAGGCGACCCCTCGACGCAAGAAGCCAGCAACTCGGGTGGGAGCTCTGGGGCTGGTTGTGTGGGCGGCACGCTCGCCTGCGCTGGCCCCGTGAGCAGCTAGTGCCTTCGCAGGGGCGCTGGGTGCCAGCTCGGGGAAGACTGGAGCTCTTCCTCCGGGGGCCGTGGGCGGGAGCCTAGAGACCAGCCTCTGGAGCCTCGGGCCCCGTCCCCCTGCCAGGACCAGCTCGTCCAGTGTGTCGGGGTGAACAGGCACCCGGCTTCCCCGGTGCTTCAACCAGCACCTCCTGAAGGCCTTCGCTCTGGACTCTGCCCGGCACTGGGCGCTAAGAGGCACCGAAGCCCAGGGAGAGGGGCCTTCGGAGGTCACAAGTCGGGACTTGGATTCCTGTGCCCAGCCTAAGGCAGAGCCCCCCGCTCCTGGCAGGAGCTGACCCCTCCAGCAGCCTGGCCTGCGGGGGGCTCGGCGTCGCCCTGCCTGTTGTAGCCAGTCTGATGTCCGTGGGCCTGGGTCAAGCTGGAGGGGCTGGCTGTGTGCAGGAGGCCGAGTGAGCTGCCTGCTAATGGGGCTGGGCCACCCCACGCTGCGCCCTGGGGACTGGACAAGGCTGGGATTGTTCCCCGGCTCCCCTTTGTCTCACTCCCCGCCCGGGCCAGGCCTGCCTGCCTGCCCACCACTCTCTCCCTCCCGGCAGCCTGGCTGGCTGGAGCCTGGGACTCTGCCGGAGGAGCCCTGGGCCTGCCGACCCACCGGCTTAGGAGCGCCCACCAAGCTCTGGGTAAGGCAGCTCAGCTGGGGCATGACGCCTGCCCTGGGGGACCCGAAGTAAAGCGCCTGCTCCAGCCCCCTCTGTTCCCATGGCCACAGCACACAGCCCTGCGGAAACCCTAAGCCCTGCCGCTAAAGGAAGGGACCCTGAGTGGAGCTAGGCCCCAGGGTCTTCACTCTCACCCGTGCCCCAGGGAGGTGGGCAGCACGCAGGATGGGTCAGACCAGCCCCATCCCACTCGTGGGACGGGCGGGGATACCCGGGAGGCCTCGGCTCAAAGCTCAGCTGGGGCCCAGGGACAGGAGACCGGGGTCCGCCCCTGCCCAGCAGGGCCGCCAGCACCCAGCTCGGAGGCGGAGAGGGCCTGGCAGGAGCAGAGGCTTGGGGGGCCCGCCCGCGGAGTGAGGTCCCCAGTGGGCGGCACACACGCAGACCGCCACCGGGGGAGGCAGGAAGACGGGCGGGGCCGGGCTGTATTGTTGCCGCGCGGTTTGGGCCGGGAGGGGGAGGGTCTTATTCTCCCTCCCCGGGGGCGGCTCCACCCGCCCGGCTGGCCCAGCCCCTCCACTGGTGCCAAGGAATGTGCCTGGGAGGGGCGGGCGGGGCAGCGGAGCCGCGGCCGCCGGGAGGCAGCGCACAGGTCTGGAGCTGAGGGGTACGGGGCTCAGGAGGGTCGGGGACCCCCGGGGCACATGAGAAGTCCTTAGAGAAGAGCCAGACACCCCGCTAATTCGTTGCCCCTCCCACAGCCATCTGGCCTCTCCAGGAGTTCTCGGCAGCACCATCCGCTGGCTGTGCTCAGCCCCGGCTCTGTGGGCCAAGGGGCGTTCTGGTGGGGGGCAGGGGGTGCGTGAGCGCTCTCTGCACTGACCTCCCTGACTCAGGCTTCCCCGGAGACAGAAACTGGGGGCTGGGGACCCGGATCCAGGGTCTGGGGCTACTAACCGAGGCCGCCTTCGGGCTGGGGAGCACCCTGCACTCAGTCCGTCCTGGGCTGAAGCTGAGCAGCCCCTGGGGACCGGGGGCTGGGGGGTTGCTGAATACTCCAGGCTGGGATGGAGAGGGGGTCACGTGGTACGAGGACGGGGAAGCCAGCTTCCACCCACTCGTACACGTGCGGGCACATACCACCCTGGGTCCCAGTGACCAGGTCCGGCCTGGACCAGGGTGAGAAGGGGCCTGTGGATGGGGACAGATACCTGATGCCCTCACTCCGCACTTTGTCTCTAGGTCACAGTGCGGAGGTGCCGGGCCACCATGCTCAGTCTCAAGCTGCCCCAACTCCTTCGAGTCCACCAGGTCCCTCGGGTGAGGGGCTTGACCCACCAACTCCCACTCGCCAGGCTACTGACTGGGGCAGAGGCTCTTCCCTTTGACCAGTTGGGCATGGGTGAGGGGGGCTCCTCCCTGCAGGCCGTCTTATCCCTGCCATCCCTCTGCTCTCTAAGGAACCTGCTGGCCACCCCTCCCTAGAGCCCAGAATGCTCCTCCACCCAGAGTCCCCTTCTTCCCGGGCGCCCCAACCCATCCCTCCTCTCTGGTCCCCTTCCCGCTGCCTCCTGGCTTTCTCCTCTGCTCTCTGGGCATTTGGGACCTGCGGTAAGATGGGGGTCGGATTTGGTTTGGCTTTGGGGCCGTGGTGACTTCCAGCCCGTTCTCTTCGACGCCGCTTGCCCAGATCTCTCCCGGGGAGGAAGGAGCGGGCCCAGTGACGCCCCTCCTGTGTCCACCCCCCACCCCCCGCCCCGCCATGCGCAGGTGTTCTGGGAAGACGGCATCATGTCTGGCTACCGCCGCCCCACCAGCTCGGCCCGGGACTGTGTCCTCAGCTCCTTCCAGATGACCAACGAGACGGTCAACATCTGGACTCACTTCCTGCCCACCTGGTGAGCGGCGCCCCGAGGGGGTCCTCGGCGGGCGGGGGCGGTGGGCGGCGGGCCTGAGCTCCTGCCCGCCGCAGGTACTTCGTGTGGCGCCTGCTGGCGCTGGCGGGGGGCCCGGGCTTCCGGGCGGAGCCGTACCACCGGCCGCTGCTCGTCTTCCTGCTGCCCGCCTGCCTCTACCCCTTCGCGTCGTGCTGCGCGCACACCTTCAGCTCCATGTCGCCCCGCGCGCGCCACATCTGCTACTTCCTGGACTACGGCGCGCTCAGCCTCTACAGCCTGGGTGAGCCCCGCGGGGCCGGGGCGGGGCCGGAGCGCTCGGGGGCGGGGCGGGGCCGGGCCCCGGGCGCTGGGGGCGGGGCCGGGCGCGCCCTTGGGAACCTCAGCTCCAGCCCCGCCCCTTCCTCCCCAGGCTGCGCCTTCCCCTACGCCGCCTACTCCATGCCGGCCTCCTGGCTGCACAGCCGCCTGCACCAGCTCTTTGTGCCTGCCGCCGCACTCAATTCCTTCCTGTGCACCGGCCTCTCCTGCTACTCCCGGTGGGTGCTCCGCCAGTGCGGAAGGGGAAGGCGGAGGGACGGGACAGGGCACCCCCCAGACGCGCCGCCGGCTCTGGACCATTAGCAACAATGGCCCGGCTTATTGAGGGCTCACCGGGTGTCGCTCCTGCGGGCCAGCACCAAACCTGCGCTGTCTCCTTGAACTCTCACAGCCACCCCAGAGGGGGCAGGTGTCTACCCCCCTCACAGACGTGGCCATTTCCAGAGGGGTCACATGCCCTAAGGGCTTTCACAGCCACTAGGCTACAGTGACATTCCATCTTGGCCAAAGGACCCCTGACCTTCGGTGACCACCCCCCGAGAAAGGATGGTGAGCAGCCTTTCCCTCCTGCCTCCCAGGTTCCCGGAGCTAGAAAGCCCTGGGCTCAGTAAAGTCCTCCGCACGACTGCCTTCGCCTATCCCTTCCTGTTCGACAACCTCCCCCTCTTCTACCGGGTAAGGGAGGCTGGGGTCCTGCCCTCCCCGCGCCCAGACCCTCACCCCCAGAGGCCCTCCCCACCAGCTCTGCTTGTCCTCTGCCAGCTTGGACTGTGCTGGGACAGGGGCCCCAGCTGTGGGCAGGAGGCGCTGAGCGCCGACCACAGCTACCATCTCCTCTGTGCGCTGCTCACTGGCTTCCTCTTCGCCTCCCACCTGCCCGAGCGGCTGGCCCCAGGGCGCTTTGACTACATCGGTGAGAGCTCGAGAGTGGTCCCCATCCAGGAAGGGGTGAGGGGACACAGCGTCCTAGAGTACAGAGTGAACAGAGTAATGGGGTATCACGGCCAGGGAGAGTGCCCGCGGTCCAGGCTCCCCCGCTCCTCAGATAACAAACTGGTAGCTTGGGTACCGGGGGCCTTGCAGGTTCTCTTATTCCCAGTTCAGGGGGCAGCCCGCCCCGACGACTAAGTAGGGCAGCCGCGGGAACGGGGTCCATGCCCTAAGCCGCCCGCCCCCCGCAACAGGCCACAGCCACCAGCTCTTCCACATCTGCGCTGTGCTGGGCACCCACTTCCAGCTGGAGGCAGTGCTCGCTGACATGGGGTCTCGCCGAGCCTGGCTGGCCACGCAGGAACCCCCCCTGGGCCTGGCGGGCACGGTGGCCACGCTGGGCCTGGCGGTGGCCGGGAACCTGCTCATCATTGCTGCCTTCACAAGCTCCCTGTTTCGGGCCCCCAGCACCTGCCCCCTGCTGCACGGCGGCCCCCTGGAGGGGGGTATGAAGGCCAGACAGCAGTGAGGCCCCGTCTCTGAGCCTGCCCTGGGGGAAGGTGCTGGGGAGGAGCCCCGACTCGGGCCTGACGGAGGTGGGGCACATCGGAGCCTGGAGCCAAGAGTGGCTGCGGAGAGAGAGCAGAGGAGAGGAGGGGGGAGGGGTGGTGTTGGCAGCAAGCAGGAGGGTCGGCAAGGGTGCGCTCAAGGGGGCCGGGGCAAGTGCTGAGGGTCTGAGAGGGGCAGCGCATGTGTCCAGGCTGGAGCTGGGGACAGGGTGGTGCCAGGGTCCTCACACCCGCTCCTGTTCCTGCCTGCAAGTCTCTGCCAAGCCCAGGGGAGCTCTAACACGACTAACCTAGGCCCACCCCGCGTGCTCGTGCGACAGGCCTGGAGACCCACGGTTGCCCTCGCCTCCCAAACCGGGCAGCACCATCTCCTGACAGCTCTCAGCCCACAGACAAGAGTCTGTCTGCCCTGCTCACAGCTGTGTGCTCAAGGTGTCCAGGCCTTTGGGTCTCCGTGGGTGTCCTGGATGGCGCGGTGGGCTGGGTGGGGGGAGGGGTGCTGGGCTAGAGGGGGAACCCTAATAATTAGACTTTTAGGAAGCTCCTTTCGATGCTTCCAGATGAAGCGGGTACAAATAAATCGGTCGACAGCAGATTTGGGGAAGTACTTTCTGAGACTGAAGAGGGTACACCTCCTCTCCACTCCCATCCACCGCCCCCAAACTCCACAGATGGACAAAGACTCGCAGCCCCACCAATTCCTCTTCCGGAGTTTATTCTGGAGCAGCTGGGATGATGGGGACCCCACGCTTGCGGGGCAGGGGGGCCAGGGAGAGGGGAGGGGAGCCGGGGTGGGGGCGCTGCCAGCCAGGCCAGCGGGGCTGCCCGCTCTAGACCGTGCCATAGAAGCGCTGGTAAGCGTCCCGGAAGCCGATGTGGTCAGCCAGCTCGTCACAGTGGGGGTTGAGCTCGCAGACTTCCCTCTTGAGCTCCAGGGGATCCGGGTAGGGGGCTGGGGCTCTGACACGCCAAGAGCGCGCCATCAGCCTCCACGACAAATGCCCGCCCCCTCCTCCCACGGCCCTGGGGGGTCCGCGGAGCCCATCCCCCAGGCTGGGCCCTGGAGAGCACTCACCCCAGCCAGGAGTCCCAGGAGTCCAGGTAACGCCGGAGCCTCCTCACCACCTCGCTGCCCTCCTGCTTGGACACGAAGGCTGTGGAGCAGAAAGGCAGGATCAGGTGGCTCAGGGCCTGGGAAGCACGGCGGGCAGCCCCGTGGGGTGATGCGCGCCTGCCCCCCACCAGGCCCTGCCTCATACCTGCACCTCTGCGGGACTCCGCACCGCTGGGCTTCGCATCTGCAAAGGAGAGGGCCCGGTTCACCCCTGCTCGTCCCTGGGGCTCCCCCACCAGGACAGAGCCTGCAGGAGGGTGGCTGGACCGGAGGCGGGGCACTCACCTGCTGCGCCAGCTAGGAAGAGTGCGACCAGGGCCAGTAGGGCGAGGACGGTCACGGGCCTCATGGCGGGTGTGTCCTGTCTGTCCGTGTCTGGGAGCGGCTGCCGGGCTGCTGCTGGGCCTCAGCTGGTCTGATTCTGGCCCTGCAGCCAGCACCCTTTATACTCTGGGTTGTGCCCTGGAGGCGAGGGGGGGGCACCCACCATGTTGTGAGTGGGTCACGGGAGGATCTGCCAGGGCTATTTGGAAGTCATCCACCCCAGCTCTGAAGGCCAAACCCCAAAGGATGTTGTGGTTGGAACTAGAGCTGCCTGGGCAGGCCCAGCCCCTCCCCAAGGGGTGCACCCCAAGTCCTCAGCTCCAGCCTGAGTTTGAGCATCAGCAGGGCAGGCCGGGAGAGGCGGGAGGGGAGCCTGGGGAGAAAGGGGGCTCCAGGTCTAAAACAGACTCCAGTAGAGCTGGGCTGCCTCTGGAAGGCTGTGATTTGCACTGCTGGCCCCAAGGGCAGGAGCCAAACCGCAGGGAGGGGCCCGAGGCAGCAATGCCCTGGTTCACCCGGAGGCAGAGGTGCCCTGCCCCTGCGGCCAGCAACGCCCAGTAACAGCAGGCCAGGGACCCGAAACCGTTGAGGTGGGCTGTCAGATAAAGACAGCTCTTCTGTTCAGGGCAGTGGGGACCCTCTCCCAGCGCCCCTCGCAGGGGGAGAGCAGGGCCTGTGAGGAGCCGGGAGACAGAGCGCACCTCTGACCCTCTGACCCTCCTCTTGCCCTGACGGCCTCCTCAAGGTTAACAACTGTGGGGGCCTATCAAGACACACACGTCCAGTCCAAAAAACCCCATCCCAGCACAGCTGAGGGCCACGCCCACTCAGCCCCACCTGGAGGGAGGATGTCCTCGAGCCCGGCCTCACTGCCCACCCCATGGCCTGCAGCCGGGCACGAGGGGTGTCTCCCGTGTGAATGCTGCGGCCCCACTGGGCTAAGTGTCCCCAGTGCCCCCAGACAGACCCAACCAAGCCTCCCCAGGGTGAGGCCCTCTCCAGGGAAAACAGTTTTGCGCCCCGCGTGTACCCATCCACTTCACCGGCCGGTCAGAGGAAGCGCCCATCTGCCTGTGTGCATGTGCTCACCACGCGCAACACTGAGGGAGGCCCGCCCGGGGCTTTCTCACAATGAACCCGAGTGGCAAAGAGAAGGGTGGAACCCAGGGGTCCTGGTCTCCATGCCGAGGGGCTCGCTGCCCCCCTGCACGTGATGGTCAGGTGCGCCCCCACCAGCCCACCCCAGCCTGGAGGCTCCCAGAGCAGCGCTGGGGCCTGGCGGGGGGCCTGGCGGGGAGCCCTGGCCCAGGAGAGGCTGGAGAGGCCAAGCAGAGGAAGCATCCTCACAGATTACAGTGGAGGAAGTTTATTTATGGATGTGGGGAGAACATGGCACGGTCCCTCGGGCCGACTGGCAAGGGGGCAATTGGGGCAGACCGAACACAGACTCCCCGAGCCAGGTCCGGGGGCGCTCAGGAACAGGCGGGGCGGCCGGTTGGCCCCGACCTGGAGGACAGAGAGCCCGGTGCCTGATTCCCAGCACGGGAGCTGGCCAACAGTCCTCAAGTTGGAAGAAAACAGGGAAGGGTCTGAAAGGGGTGAGGGGCTGTGTGTGTGACCCCAAGGGAGCCCCAAAGCAGGAGGGACGGTCAGGCCTCATCCTGCAGCTCATTCCATCCCCGCTCAGGGACTGGGCATGATTTCAGTGGTTGTCAGAGGCAGCTCGCCCAGGCCCTCGAGCTCGACTGCCCCGGTCCGGCCGCCACCTCCTCACTCGGGCTCCCCCAGCACACCCACCAGCTCCTTCTGTTCTCTGTGCAGGGCCTGGAAGCAGGAGGAGGGGACAAACAGGACACGAAAAATCCAAACCTTTCCTTCCACTCAGCTTGACTCCAGGCCTCTTTCCCCCAGGACGACACGGAAGGAGTGGGTGCCTGCTGCCCAGTGCCCCAGAGCCAGGGAGGGGGGTGAGGACAAGAAGGAAGAGAGCCACTGGGCCTGCTCCTGCGGCCGGCTCTCCAAGGCTCGGGGACCTGGGAGCCAGGGATTTGGGGACCCACTGCTGTGAGGAACAGGAAGGCCTGTCCCAGGAAGGGAACCACCAAGTGGTTATAAGTAAACACAAGCTGGCCATCTGGATGGCGGAGTGAGCCCAACGTGGTGCAGCCACTCGAGCCTTGCCCACAACCCTGGACTGGAGCCACTTTTTGAGAGAGAGGAAGGAAGAGAGGGCAAGCAGAGAGAGAGTGAAAGGGGGAATCTCAAGCAGACTCCCCGCCGAGTGCAGGGCCGACGTGGGGCTCGATCTCATGACCCTGAGACCACCACCTGAGCCGAAACTGAATCGGACACTCAACCGGCTGCCCCCGCCCCGGGCGCCCCCTAATGTGCACGTTTTAAAGCTCCTGGGGATCGGTCACATGGAGAACCCCACGGCCACGGAGCGCTAGCCCTGACTAACAGGAGGAGCCGGTCCCCTGGGCTGGGGACCAGGCCTGGGACACTCACCTGCCAGGCCTGCTGCCGCGCCTTGCCCTGACGCTGCAGCTCCTGCACCCGCCCCCGCCCGGCCAGGACGGCCTCGGCCAGCTGCCTGTTCTCGGCCTCCTGTCTGTGCACACGGCGCTGCAGGGCGTCCCGCTGCTGCAGGAAGTAGGGCATCAGGGCGCTGCGCACGTCTTCTTCCGGGATCCCGCTGGGGCGCCTGCGATCCCACCGGGGCCAGTGGACGGGGTGGGGAGGACGTGGGTGGGTGAGGCTGCCGTGGCCTCCCACCTGCGGCCTCTAGCGGGGCGGGCTTCCACTGGCACTCACCGGCTGGCACTCAGCTCGGCGCCCAGGGACCCCCTCTGCCCGCTCTCCCCGCCCACGTCTGCGCCGCCCCCATGTCTAGCGCTCCAGGACGGGAGGCGACCTTCCAGCTACTGCCTCTGTCCGTGGGACCCCGCGCACCCGCTCCTCAGTGAGCCGGAGACTGGGGGACCCGGAGGGGCCCCAGCAAGTGCTGGCTAACGTGGGAAGATGCGGCGGGCAGGTCTGGAGGCAAGAGGATGGGGGTCCTGAAAGCCCAGAGCGAGGGGATGGGTTGGTTCCAGTGGGCAGTGGGGTGGAAGCCACCAGAGGTCCTTTAAAAAATTTGTTTTCAGCTCTAAAACTCATTTCTCTTACGTGTTAAAGTCACAAAACATAAAGAAATTGGAAAGCACGAGAAAGGTCAGACAGTTCAGGCAGGGAGAGTGGGGGGAGGCAGGAGCTCGGCGTGGGACGCCCCAGGCCGCGAGGCTGCCCGCGGGGATGTCAGCCCCAGGGCAGCAGCTCTGGCGGTCTTGTTCACCGCTGAATCCCAGGCATGTAAAACCATTTGGGGCATACAGGGTGTCCCCTAAATATTGTTAAATGGACAAGTGAATAAAAACCAGACGCCGGGCCGGCCTGACAGAGACTGCAAATCCACCCTTCCACCTCCTGCCGACGGGCAGATGGGTCCTGAAATGAGCCCCCTGCAAGGACGGCCCCCCCCAGTCGGCCCCAAGCCCCCGACAGCACGCGCCAGCTACGAGGCTCTCCTTCCCCAGAGGGGAGGACGGGCTTGCTGCGCCCCGAGGCCCGCGCGCGAAGCCACTTCTCACCAGGCCGGCTCCGTGCGGTCTTTGCCTTCTTGTACGATCTTGTCCAAGGAGTTCAAGACCGCTTCCAGGTTCCCCTCCGCTTTGATCTCAGAGATTTCCTCCTGAAGAGCAAGCAGGAAAGAGCTCCAATGACACCAGACAAGCCCACCGTGAAAATATGCCAAACCGTGGACAGGACTCAGTAAGATCTGGGCCAATTCCGGTGTCTTTGTACCAACATTCCAACTTCTCTCCATGCGACTTTAATAACTAAGAACGGGAAGTAGCAAATGGGAAACATTTGAGCAGAGCCTGTGCCCAACACCTTGGGATGCTGCAGCCCCAGGCCCAGCTGCTGGTGCCAGACACGCCCCGGTGCTTCCCACCCGCCCCCCGCCCCCCCGCCGCCCCGGAGCACGAGCGCGCGGGAGTGGAGCCCTCTGAAGGGATCACCGTTCCTGGAAGACACGAACACAGTCCCGTCCTCTCCGGTACTCCCTGCAGCACGCAGCTCCGCGGAATCGCACAGTTAAGTGTCTCCTCTGCACCTGGCCCTGCACCAGGCGCTGGGGACGCGAGGAGGCCAGGAGCCCGTGGGGCAGACAGCACGGGGCACGGCACCGGACCACGAGAGCGGGGACACGCCAGGGAACGGATGGCAGCCACGCGGGCAGCTCTAAGTGCTGAGGACCCAGAGGGCCCGAGCCAGCGCCCCCTGCTGCGCTCCCTGCCACTCACCCGGACAGATGTCTGCAGCTGGGTGACGAACTTGTCATAGACTCGCTGTGTCATCCCAGGCTGCACCTGGTAGAGGCGCTCATAACAGTCCGTGAATCTCTGGAAGCTGGCGGGAAGGAGAGACGGCCAGGTGGAGGGTCACGTGCACAGCCAGCCGCAGCCCCGGCCCGGCCACCCCCATCTCCCCCGCGCCCCCAGCCGTGGGGCCCTGGGTAAAGGCCTGCAGCTCCGCTCGGCCTCACCTGTCCCCAGGGTCCTCACTGCCTCTCAGCAGAGCCCAGCTGAGCTCAGGGGTCTCCCCTTACACGGTGGGTCACACCTGTCCACCATGGTGCATCAAATCACCGGGAGGGCTTGCTAGGACTCGGCGCCGGCCGCCCCCACAGTGTCCAACTAGCTCCCAGGGGAGGCTGCTGCTGGTGTGGGCCGCGGTCCTTGAGAAACTCTGGTTGTTCCAGTCCCCTTGCCGGGCTGGACTAGGACAGGACATGTGGCCTCAGGCAGAGGTATCCTTCCTCCTCAAAGGAGCCACACAGGAAGGATGCCCCTTTTGTAGGATGTGACGACACGTGCTGGAGGCTAGGTCTCCAGCTCCCAGCCATTGTGGGGGCCCTGGCTTGAGGGCAGAGTTCATTCCCTAAGGAGGCTGAATGGAAGAGAGGAACTGGGATGTCTGAGGACATCATCAAGCTGCTGAAGACACCAAACTAGAGCCACCCCACCTTGGGGCCGCTAGTTAGTGGGGTAATGGATTCCTCTTATTGTACACGCCATTTTTAAAGAAAATTTTTTAATAGATTTTATTTATTTGAGAGGGAGAGAGAGTGAAAGAGAGCGCACAAGCAGGGGGAGTGTCAGGCTGAGGGAGAAGCAGGCTCCCCGCTGAGCAGGGAGCCCCACGTGGGGCTCGATCCCAGGACCCTGAGATCATGACCTGACCCGAAGGCAGACGCTTGACCGACTGAGCCACCCAGGTGCCCCTGTCCACGTCTTTTAAAATCAGGTCTCTGTCACTGGCAGTTGAGAGCTGGATCCCTGATCCATTCTCGTAGCTGGAAAGATCAGAGGGTACCCAGGACGCTCCCAGTGGCTTGCTCTCTTAGACGTCTCCTGCCTTTTCTCTCCCCACTCCCTGCTTTCTTGTGTCTCTACCTTCTCCCTCGGGCCCTTCACCTTCTGCCAGGGTTCGGTGCTGGCCACCAACCAGGTACTGGATGTTCTGCGGGGAGGGAGGCCGCACGGCCCTCTGGGAGCTTTGGGCAGAGAGTTGCCAGCGGACACAGAAACACACGAGACCGTGGGGACGGCCACTTGTGGAGGGCGCTCTGAAGGAACAGGGTCTTGGAATTGTCTTTAAGCTGGGGTTGGGGGTGTTCAGTGACCTGCAGGAAGTGTCTGAGCGAGGGAGACCCCAAGCACATAACTGCCGACACCTGTGCTCGGCTGCGGGGCCGTGGGACACACAGAGGATTGGGTCCCTGGAAGACGGCGCCTAGCCCCCACCCCACCCGGGAGGATCACTGCTGGTCCCCCCTTCTCATGGCTCTCGGCCTCCCCGCCCAGGTCCTGCCCTACACAATATCTGTGGAGCAGGTGACATTTGAGAGTGCCCAGGGGCTTGCAAGGGACACCTGCTACGTTTTCAGGAAATCTGTGAGCCTGCTGTTCAACACGGCCACACTGAACACTAAGTTATATAACCTGGCAGTAAATGTTAAAAGAAATGGTACTAACTACTCAAGACACACGACTTCCTAATGCAGCACATTCTCGAGGCTCTGGAGGCGGCTGACATCCTCCGTGTGGAAACACTCTGTAAGGCGCCCTGCTGCCATCTCTCCAGGACTCCGGATTGAGCGTTTACACCTTGGCAACTGGCAAACGCAGTAAGCCAGGGCTTTATTTTTGGAGGGCTGGTTGCAAGCCTCTGCCGGTGGCTCCACGGGAGGGGACGGTCTCTCCCCGTGTGCCTGTCCACACTGGACGCCGACACCCCCTGGGGGCTAAACCTTGGCACTCGTGGCCAGGGCAAGGGACGGACGGCGGGCACCCTTCAGCCTCGGTGGGGCCCCAGGCGTCTTGTGTGCCGCCAGCCCCCCTCGCCACGCAGTCTGTGGCTACACGAGGAATGCGGAGACGCAGGACGCCTGCCCAAGCGGGGCTGGAACTGAAACTGGGTAATTGTGGCTTGACACGGACTTGGCTTGGACACCGGCGATCCTGTTCCTCCACCTGGCCCGCTCGACGGCAGAGGGTCTGAGTGGGCCTCTGTGCTGCGCAGAGCTCTTCCCACGGCCCCGATGGGCTCTGAGGACTCAGTGAAAGTGAAGCCCGTCCACGCAGATCCCTGAATGGTGAATGCCTGCTGCATGGGCCCGGAGGGAAGGCAGCCGGACTGGAGGCTGGTGTCAGCGAGACAGGAGGACAGGGATCCTTGCTTTGTTTCCAGGTTTACGGCGATGTAACTGCCATGCCTCCTTGTATAAGGCACACGGCATGATGCTTTGACTCACATATGCAGTGAAATGATGAGCACAGGAGGTGTAGTCAACACCCATCACCAGCTCACAGAGATACAAAAAACAGGGAAGAAAAGTTTTTCCTCGTGATGGGAATTGCAACAGACGCTCTTCCCAGGGCGGCGTGAGCTGCGGTCATCATGGTGGACACTGCACGCCCAGGGCTTCCTCATCCTCTAGCTGATGCCCGGGCCTTTGTCCACCTTCCTCCAACCCCCCCATCCCCACCTCCAGGAATTCCCTTCTCGAGAGCCAGGGCAGGCTTGGGAATGGTTTAAATGCCCTTGTGAATCTCCTAGAAAAATGCTCTAAGGGAAAAGCAGGAAAAGTGATGCATTTTAGAAAACATGCCGGGCCGTCCCGCCCCCTGCAATGTCACTGGGATCACTGGGATCTCCAGGGTGCCCAGAACTGTTCAAATGCGGCTGCAGACCAGCCCCACCCCCAGCTACCCTGGACTCCAGGCCAGCAGGCGTGCGCTGCTGGGGTGGGGGAGCCCTCCCTCATGAGCAGCCCTGGTGGCCTCTCTGCAAGTCCCCCTTGGCCCTCTGTTGGAACGGTGCCCTGGCCTTGGCCTTCCAAGGGTACGCAAGGGGCCACCCAGCTGCGTGCTGGCTATGTGCACTGGGTCTGCGGAATCTTGGCCTTTCTGTCTGGGTTCAAATCCTACCTCTACCGCTCATCAGATGAGTGATCTGTGACAACTTCTTTACCTTTCCCTGCCTCGGGTTCTGCTCTGTCAAGTGGGGATAGTGTGTCCGCGCTCACAGAATTACTGTGAGGTCACATAAGTAAAGTATTTAGCACGGTGCCCAGCGCACTGACAAGCACCACGTTAGCTACAATTAGTATCCCTAATTTCAGGAAAACAGTCCTCACTGCCCCTCTCAGAGGTGCCAAACAGTAAGCTGGCTTCCAGGATGGGGCGCCTTGGGTGGCTCAGTCGTTGAGTGTCTGCCTTCGGCCCGGGTCACGATCCCGGGCTCCTGGGATCGAGCCCTGCATTGGGCTCTCTGCTCCGCAGGAAGCCTGCTTCTCCCTCTCCCACTCCCCCTG